GAGGCCTTTCCCTTACCAAGGAAATGCTCTAACTGAACTATGTGGGCTCGCATGGAAATTGGCGATGATTGGACTTCGTAGTCGCAAAACATACGTTCTACCATTTGAACTATGCCCCCTGGCCGAGTGAGGACAGTTCTCCAACCATGACGCGCCTAGCAGTTGTGTAGGTTCTGTGCACCACAACACGGAGAGAGAGAGAGAGAGAGAGAGAGATGTAGGGGGGGGATGGATATGAGGTAAGCTTACCAGGTGCTTATGTGGTGGTGATTGATTTAGGTTTGAGACCATACTGCTTCAAGAAGTGCGGTATTGCAATGTTCTGGTGTTAGTGTCCAGGCTGGTCAATGTAGTATGTCTGGCCCTCAGTCCAGCTGTGACACATTCTGCTAGGTGCGTTGTGGTTGAGAACTATCCTCGATCCGCCGGGGGGCGTAATTCAAGTGGTACAACCAATGTTTTGCATCTACGAAGTCCAATCGTCGCCAATTTGCCCGCGAGCCCGCGTAGCTCAGTTGGTAGAGCATTTCCTCGCCTCTGGTTCAATTTCGGTTTTAGGTTCCGTGCACCGCAACACACACACACACACACAGACACACACACACGCGCACACACGCACACACAAAGACACACACACACACACAGAGAGAGAGAGAGAGAGAGAGAGAGAGAGAGAGGGGGGGGGGGGGGGGGGCTGAGGGGGGAATGGATATGAGGCAAGCTTACCAGGAGCTTCTGTGCAAGTGCAGTATTGCAACTTTCTGGTGTTAGTGTCAATTGTGCTCTGGCGTTGGGGTGGCAAGCGCAAGAGAGAAAGCAACTTGGTGAGTGACAGTGATTGTGAAGTGGTGGTGCAGGATAGAGGTGAGTTTGGCAGTAGTCAGATGGAAACGATGACATGCTGAGGTGATTGATTTAGGTTTGAGACCATGCTGCTTCAAGAAGTGTGGTATTGCAACTTTCTGGTGTTAGTGTCGATTGTGCTGGTGTTGGGTAGGCAAGCGCAGGAGAGAAAGCAACTTGGTCAGTGACAGTGATTGTGAAGTAGTTGTGTAGGATAGAGGTGAGTTTGGCAGTAGTCAGATGGAAAAGATGACATGCTGAGGTGGCAGCTGAGGAGTTCGTGATGTTGATTTGGGAAGAGACTCAAAAATTGTATCGTTTCTTTGTATTTTGGAGAATTTCTCATATTCTTGCTTTGTCTTTCTGTTGCCTTGTCGTTTGACATCATTGCTATATTTTAACCTTGCCTTTCATTTTTAGCCTTGTGAATTCATGCGTGATGATGATGTAAGCTTCTGAAGTTGGGTTCATCATGCTTTCAAGAACTAGGAAAAAAGGATGTAGGTTGATGCCTGGAGATAATTCCAACTGTTAGGTAGCGGTGTCAACCAACAAATCATTTAAAGTGCAGAGACCGAAACCGTAATGCAGTGCATGATGTTTAATGACAAGGATGCAAAGGGCAGAGACTGAAAATGGAACTCAGTTCATGAATCGAGTTGGAGCTTTATGTATCATGAAGTGACATAATCATAATTACATCCCGTGATGGCAAAAACAACGTTCGCCATACATAGACCGCCCTGAAGCGTGGCAGGTGCAAGTTTAGTGGATAAGCTATTGGTGAAGGGGGAGCACGGAGTGAGAAAAAAGGGAGATGGGTCTGGACAGTCCTGACGTCCGCTGTGTTGTGCAGACTTTTTGCAGGATCTGATAGTGAAGATGTGAAGTTAGTGATTGATGCGATCGCTTTGGAATCTGCCAGTGAGATTGTGGCTGTGGGATTCTTTCCACTTGGAGCAAACATGCTGGTAAGTTGACAGCTTCACAGATCACCACATGAACATGGTTTTGTTTCCCCTCCCCCCCCCCAAGTTTTGAAATGTGGCCGTATCACCCCAGTCCCATTCTACAGTGCGTGACTATTCCAGTTGTATGTTTAAGCGTGGATATGACCCAGACGTCTGCGCTGCCATCCAGACGGTTTGGATCCAGGCTTGCATCCAGAAGGTCCTAATTGGGCCGAACTCTTCCCCCCCGGCCCCCCCCCCCCAAAAAAAAAAGGGGGTTAGGCCAGGACCCTTCCTAGGATTGAGGCTGTCCCCGGAAAAATGTTATCTGGAGTTCTGAGGCCTGTTTATTTTCTTTTGGGAGGCCGGGCCAATACTGACTTCGTGAAGTGTCTTGTCTCATTGTAAATTTTTGAATGTTTTGCAGTGTGTTCTTTGAAGTTTGAACTTCAAAGTTTAAATTTCTTTCTGTTTCTTTTTTTTTTTTTTTTTTTTTTTTTTTCATATGTATGCGGTATGGCACTATATGACAGCACATGAAGTTGCGGACTGTTAACTCGCGCTCAACTACTCTCCACTTTCAAAAAAACTGGAGAGTCCGTGGAGAGTTGTCAGACTCTCCAACAAGGTGAAAAACCTGTTGCTGGCGCTTGCTGCTCCACTTACTCTCCTCTGAAGAACTCTCCAAATGACGAAACCAGAAGTGGACAGCTGAAAGTCCGGTTTGTCCAGCCAGACTCCAGGCCAGCTGTTCAAATATGGGCACTCACAAGGACTCTCCAAGTCATAACGGCCTTTGCAGTCGGTGAGCTCTCCAACCGTGGATAGTGGTTTTAAAGAGTGCACTCTGACAGGTATCCAAAGGAATTTCGGGGTTCTGTTGTGAAGGTAGTAGAGCAATGCTAAACTCCTCAAATCTCGAGAATGGAGAGGAAACAATGATTTCGTCAAAATGGATGTCTTTCTTTTTTCTATTTTTTTAACGAAATTGGCCTGATTGAGGTGGAAATTTTAGCTTTTGAGGGTAACGCGTTCTTAAGGCGCTGTACCCCCTGGGCTCCAGCTATGTCCAGATACATCCAGGGGGTACGGCATTCTTAAAACACCGTACCCCCTGGACTCCAGCGAAGTCCAGACTCCAGATACATCGAGGGGGTAGGGTGTTTGAAGAACGCTGTGCCCGCAAAGGCTGAAAATTTAGACTCAATTGGGTCAATTTGGTTTCAAGTTCGTTCCAAAAAAAAAAATGTCCATTTTGACGAAATCGCTGTTAGTAGTGGAGCGAGACCCATTATCATTTTGACCTTAAACACGTAGTTTACTTTTTGAATGGAATTATTTTGCAGTCTGGGTGTTTCCAGACATTTCATACAGGTCAGCAGACTGTCCTGATCCTGGCTTGTCTGGATGTCTGGATATGTCAGGTGGTTTGGACATCTGGATGGGTCCAGACATGCGTCCAGTCAGATGTCCGGCAATGTCCGGGTCCAGGTCCAGCGTAGCCATGTGTTTGAGTGTTGTTTGCCTGCAACTGGAGTTGTGTGGATGACAGTGAATGCGTGTTTATCCTGAGGTATTCCTAGAGTTAATGGATAGGTACTGGTTGGCAGACTGCCAACTGGTCCGCTGGACAACGGTGTGGTTAGCAGACTGCCAACCGGTCGGCCCTACTGGTCGGCTGAACAACGGTCGCCGGTTGGGGTCAGCAGTCAGCGGTTAGCGGGTATGCAACCCTGGTTTGGCTCTATTGTGGTTTTGTCTGCGCCTCGAGACTGATGGGTCAACTTAGTATAAGTAGTATAGACCTCTTTGACCGGAGTTCATTCCCAGCGCCTGGGGTACCGGTAGTGAATGGCGGTCGGGTTTGCAGTATGATGGTGGATCATGAACGTGTATGGATCGTTGGCTGTTAGGCTTTTACTTCGAAATTCTCTTGTGTTTGCCACTGTTTGGTAATTTGCATACGGTTTTGTGTACGGTGTGTTGTCTGAGAGGTTGTGAGGGGTGTCGGGACAGTTTTCAGGTGAGGGAGTCTGTCAGGAGGCTGGACACATCGGGTTCAGCCTCCCTGACGGCACAGGATAGGGCACTCAACCTCGACAAAGGGCCTAGCCGTGCGCACACGGGGGGGTATCAACCAAGACTGGTGTTTCCTGGTCGCTGTCAATGGGGCACTCCATGCCTCGATTCAGGTTCTGGTGTTCCTCAGGGCAACTGGGCAGGAGGCAGTCATGCACCACTGTCGCCCGTCGCCGAGGGGAATTACCGTTGGCCTGCTAGGGGCGTGGCGAGCCCCAGCCTCCCCCCCCCCCGATTCATTGCTGAGTTCACTCCTCGTTCTGCCCCCAGTCCCCCCATGACCCCACACAACTTGGCGGAGGCACAAGTGGTCCTTGTATGATGCTCCCTGGCGAACCTCTCAGAGCACGCACAGGGGCGCAGCATCTGATGTGGCAGTTGCAATGGCTGCGCGCTCAGGAGTTGAACATCAAACCACTCGTGAGTTTGGTATTCCATTTTTGGCCTTGTGTTATGAACCTGGTTGTTTGTTGTCAGAAGACCAACACTCGCTCGCATAGACTTCCAGGTATGCGCATACATACACAGAAGGAAGGGGAGGGGATGGGAGTATCACACCGCTCAAGGAGAGATGAACACAGCGGAAGACTTGACCATGCGATATGACAGAAAACACTGAGAGTGCACAACCAGTCACACAGGAAAAGCCGAGTAGATCGCATCCAGGAAACAATGAAGCAATGATAGTCCACACACAGTATACACTGTTTATTAAACTCAGAGTCTCGAAATGTCAGAAGAACCCCAGAACCATGGTGCGCTGCTCAGAAATGAGCAGCGCTTCACTCCCCAACCGTGAGTAACCGCTATTACTACCCCTGAGTCCCTGAAACAACCAGTGCCACCCAGATACTGCCTCCAGAGGGAACCGCCACCCTGAAACAGGCCTCTGAGGCCAAGCGCCTCTCAGAGGACGAAGAAGAAGACCAGCGTCTCAGTGTCTGATGATGATGAAGTGCCAGAGGACTTCCCGGGTGGAAGTCTGTAGCAGCGCCACCTCTCCTGACAAAGATGAGCTTGGAGGATGAAAGCTGCAGCTATGGCTGCGGCACCACACACCCTGATACCCTACTCCTGAGGAGGGTTCAGCAGGGCACCAATTTCTCTTGCCTCCAGCAGACTTCAGATAGCCTGGACCTCTGAACAGCCCCACGTGCTGTCAGAGCACAGCGAAGGTCCCAGCTATGGCTGACACTTCGCAGGTCCGGCTATCTCTGTCTCCTCCAATGCTGAAGCTGTCATCACGCCAGTTCATGTGTTGCGCAGCTGCAATGTACACCGTACCAACTGCCAAAAAGCCACGAACCGATTCCTCCAAACTATTAATAGAACTATACTACCCTAGCCTAGACCAAGACTGGAGTGACTGGACCGACCGGTACTGTTTCAGTTTCGGCCTCTCGGCCTCTCCCTACCTGGCTATAGGATATAGGACCGTCTATTGGCATAGGCCATTAGGGCCTGTCCGTCCTAGGGGTAGCCCGGGCCTGCTATTCACAGTTAGGGTAGCTGTAGGAAATTCCAGTTAGTGTGGGCCTATATTTTCCCGAATTTGCAGAATGTCCCTCACGAATTTTCCTTACAGGCAGGTCTCTCGGTTAGCCCTCAGCCAAACAAAATTACAAATATAGCCTACCTATGTTACAGCCTCGGGTCGACGGGTCACCGGCGGCAGCAAACAGCAAGTCATTGCACTTGCATCGGTCGACGCCCACCTGTGGAGCGTGCAGTGTTGCAGGGGCGAAGGTTCGAGCCTTTGATCTCAGACCACATCCAGAATTGTTTCATTCTTTCTCTTTGAAAAAAAAAAAAAAAAAAACAGAATGTTATGGTTCTAGGCTTCTAGCTTCTTATTCATTCTGGGGAACAATACTCCGGTTCCTTTTCCACTGGCAAGTCGAAAATAAATACAATTAATACCCGCTCTTACGCTTGTCCCCATTAGGGTTGAGAGATCCGAGAGAGCAGCATTGATTACTTCCTTTTGGAAGGATGTACCACCCCTCACTCCTGCCTCAATTTAGCCTAGTTGTCTACTCTCGGCCATAGTTGCGGCGCACCTAGGTGCGCTGATTTGCGCACGTGTTCTGCACTGCACCGAGCGCACTGCACTGGACAAACTAAGGTCCGGAAGAAAAAACGAACTGTAGGGGTTTCATAATTTCTTAGGGCCCCCGAGTCAGCAAAAATGTTCAACTCACCGCGCGACTTCAGAATCCGGCCGTGCCCCAGGCCCGTATTTTTGTTTTGGGGCAAGGGCTGCCGAATTTTGAATTCCCCAGGCCCTTCCCTCGAAAGTTTCAAAACGGCAAATCATGAGAATAGGGCTCATTCCATTTTTATTTTAGGGCGGGGTGTGGAAACTGTCCTTCCCCCTCTCTTCTGCAAATCCCACACAGTGCCTCGCCAAAGTCACGAGTAGTGTTTGCAAGTCCAGCCGACCTTCTATACATGCTGAAGATTGGCATTCAGGTATGTCGGTAGTTATGGTTTAGGTGTCTTAGGATTAAGATGCCTGTAGCTATCTCGTTTTTTTGTTTTTGTTTTCTTATGAATACGTACAGTGGCCCCCAAGTGGCCTCCCTCCACAACTCACCACGTGCATAAAAGACAGCATATGGCGGTGTATAGTTCTATTTTTTTGCAGAAGATTCATTCTACTGATGTTATATACATTTGGCGAGTGGTGGAGGGACGCCCTGAGAATCACGTGGACATGAACAGGGTGTAGCTGAATTGGTGACCCATAACTGCCGAGCTACAGCCCTGAACTCGAACCCACGACATATGTTGGTGGTGTGCTCCCACGTCTTCCACACACGACGCGGCCATCCTGCTCGGTCCTCAACGACTCCACATCGTAGGAGCCATTCGAGCTACGGGCAGGGGCCCTTGAGTTGACGGGAAGGGGAGCCTTTGGTCTCTCTCTCTCTCTCTCTCTCTCTCTCTCTCTCTCTCTCTCTGGGGCACGTATATATGAGTATATTGTTTTGTTTTGTTTTCTTTCTTTTCTTTTTTTTTTTTTTTGCACACAGGGCACACCTCCCTCAACGTGCGTGCTGTCATTCTAGCGCACAGCGCACCGGCCCACACCGCACTGCGCACCGGCCCGCACCGCACTGCACTGCGCACCGGTGCACCGCAACTATGACTCTCGACCCTTTGAATTACATAATGGTTGAACACCGTTCTTCCCTTATGAAGCCTTCTCCATGCTATCAGCTACCTTAAACGATCTGTACCCAGAAAACAACTATATGGTGGCTTCCTACCTTATGCTTGGAAAGCTCTGGTCATACCCGAAATAAGTTTTTCTGTCATCTTTCCAGAATCTTTCTTATGAATGCCACTATCTCATTACGTATCTATGGTGTGATTTTGGGTGCACTTCAAAAAGATGTGACTATCCAGCATTAGTGCCGAAGATGGGATGGTTTGTTATCGAGTGTTGATGACAATTCTGTTGCTGACCAAACCACCTCAGGATTTTAGGGGAGCCATGCTTTAGTCCCTTCTTGCTATCCTCCCCCTGACAAACCTCATGTTGCCATCTGGCTTGTCATCTGCGATGTTGTCATCTGGCTTGTCATCTGCGATGTTGTCATCTGGCTTGTCATCTGCACAGGTTAAGTACCTCGGTGAACAAGGGGAGAAGGCCCCAGTCCTTGCAGCGGTTTCATTGGACAACCCATTTGACATGTATAGCATGGTATGAATGTGGGCAATTCCCCTAAAATCACCACTGCTCATCCATTTGACTGGTCTTTCGTCTTTCATGGGGTTATGGTAGTGTGCCAGGTCTGCAAGGGAGTGGAGGAAGGGACCACCTTATCTCACTCTTTGTTCGATGCTTGCAAAAGCACAGCAACTTCATAGAGGCGAATGTAAACGTAAAAGGAAAATTTTAAACTTTTGAACAGAGAGGAGTTGTGGCACAGCAATGCCTTTTGCAACAAGGGGGTCCACCTCCACAGAGTGAGTTTAGCAACAAGGTGGTCCACCCCCACAGACATGCATGGACAGGGAAAAGGCAGTTGGTTTTGGAATGCTCACATATTGTGAAGTGGATTAGAAGGGGATCGGCCCCCCTCCCCTCTGCCCCGCCTTTTCTCAGCTCAATCTGACGTTTGTTGTCCCTAGCTGTTACAAAGTGTCCAATGGGCAGAATGGACCTGATGTAGTTTATGGATTAATCAGGTTTGGGCTGCAATCTTTGTGGTGTTTTAGTGTTTCATTCAGATTCCAGGTTTTGGGGGGAAAGACAACAAAAACAGCTGATGAACAGTGAACACCATCGAGTTCAAAAAAGCAATTACGCGATTTTTGAAGTTTTTTAAATCCTTTTCTTAATCCTTCTTTTTAATTCTTTGTTATTTATTATTTCATTTCCAGGGCCACTAGTTGAGTGTGACAAACATGTTACGTACATTCAATATTGTCTGATTGTCCACATCAGACAATCTCCAGCCATACCACACAGATGTATCAAAGAACAGGCACATAATAATGCACAGTATGACCTTTGCACCTATGTCACTGTAATGGTAGGACAAATGGGAGTATAACCCATAACCCCTAAAGGAGGAGAAACTTTATCCGCAGGGAGGGGTGCCACGTGCCAGTGACGCAGGCTGCCTCAACACAATGGACATGGAGAGCACCCAGAATCTTTCAGGAGAACGGTTTGTAACAGCAAAAAGCGTTCAGATTGTCAATATCCGTCTTCCACTTTTGCATATTGATTGATTCCTTGTTTGTGTTTCTCTGATCAGGAAGTTGCCAGTAATGTCTTTCAGGATGACAGATCACCAGAATCACCAGCGGTCCTTCGGATGGCAGCCTTGGCCACCGACCCCAGTTCGCAGCCTTGAGAACATGGGATACCAGCCTTAGTACTGTTTAATCTACCCGCGGTGGTTGAATGGAGCACATGTGAGGGATCCCAGCCTCAGTTGTCTTTAGGCTACCCATTGAATGTGAACTGGGCTGATACCCTCCATATGTTAGAATGAACTTGCGGCCCTTCGTTCCTTTTTCTTTTTGAAAAGCGGGGCTTGTTTGGAACTCGCGTACCTTTGCAATGTTTGCGTAGATGGCTTCCGAAAGGGTCGGGAAAGGAAGGGTAATTCTTGACAAATGGAAGTGCTTTATTGCAGGCATACTCTTATGAAGACACGAATCCGGGAGTGGCATTGTCGTTGCTTCTTAAGAAACACCTGGTGAGTCTCCGTCCTCCCCTTGTGTTCTTTTTTTTTGATTGGTGAGCCTTTATGCCTTTTGCAATGACTCATGGTCAGGTAGCTCTCTAGTGCACTTGTGATATTGTTCTTCACGCTGCTGGGCACGAGATTCTTTCCAATCAGGACTCAGATTTGCAAAGTTTCTGTATGTAATGTGTGTTAGCAAGCAATTCAGGAAGGAGAAGTCATATGACAACGATTGTCCACAGACAGCAACAAACCAAGAAAAGAAAAAAAACAAGAAAGAAATTACACTCAAATAGAACAATTTTGTCCATCGGACCCTTAAAACTTTCAAGGCTACTTTTGAAGCAAGAAGTGAATCTGTTGTTTCGGAATTACAACAACTTGCACAAACCCAAATATATAAATACAAAAAGCCTTCGGTCTGAAACTGAACCAAATCGAGCCCGGAATCCAATAAAGAATAGCCATATTCATGATGGGCAACCAACCACCCAAAAATAAAAGAGTACATAAACTACTCRTTAATATCATATTAGCATACTCCCCTAAAAAAAAAAGAGCAAAACCCATGGAAGAATATTCTACGTTATAGCCTGCAACTAACTCAGCTTCCGCTTCTGGTAAATCAAAAGGGGCATGATTCGTTTCCGCTACGGTCAAATCAAATATGATTTGATTCATCCAGAATAGGTTTAATTACTCAAATAAAAACAGACTTGCTGGTTGTCGACAAAGAGATATCATAATTAATTACGACTGGCGTCAATGGTTTTTTGGTGATCGCGCCTAACGGCGGCTTCCTGGAAGCGGGAGTTCTTTGTCAAATTAAATAAAGTGAAGCTTATGGAAATCAAATATTTCTGTTTTTAAGAAAACAACTCCAATTACAAAAGGTAAAAACATGAAAAATTCTCTTCTGTTTAAATCGGAGAACTTATGAATGAAATACGGTTTGAAATTTCCAAACACAACACGATTATAGAGCCAAATGGAATAAGCTGCTCCTAAAATCATTCCAATGGCTGCTAATGTTGCTACGTTGGGCGCAGCTTGAAAAGCGCCTACTAAAATAAAAACTCACCAATAAAGCTATTAGTGTCTGGCAGACTAATATTGGCTAAAGAAAAAAATAGGAAAATAGTAGAGAAGATAGGCATTGTACTGACTAAACCTCCATAATATTTAACACATGAAATTTATGAACAAATTTGCTGGAGCGGAACTATCTACTTTATTAGAACAAAGAATTACAAGTTATTACTCCAAATTACAAGTGGATGAAATCGGTCGAGTGGTTTCGGTAGGAGATGGAATTGCACGTGTTTATGGATTGAACAAGATTCAAGCTGGAGAAATGGTCGAATTTTCCAGTGGTGTTAAAGGAATGGCACTGAATCTAGAAAATAAGAGTGTAGGAATTGTGGTTTTTGGTAGTGATACTGCCATTAAAGAAGGAGATATTGTCAAACGTACTAGATCTGACTGCTTTACCTGTTATCGAAACACAAGCTGGAGATGTATCTGCTTATATTCCTACCAATGTAATCTACATTACGGTCGGACAAATCTTTTTGGAAACATAATTGTTTTATCGTGGAATCCGACCTCCTATTAATGTAGGATTGTATGTAAGTCGTGTAGGTTCTGCAGCTCAATTGAAAGTTATGAAACAAGTGTGCGGTACAGACACGTGTAGATGAAATAACTCCCATCTGTTCAGTAGTCAAAATATTTCCGGCAGCTGGTTGGTGGGAATGAGAAGTATGCGATATGTTTGGTGTGTATTTTTCCAACCATCCTAATTTATGTCGTATATTAACAGATTATGGTTTTGAGGGTCATCCGTTACGAAAAGACTTTCCCTTAAGTGGATATGTGGAAGTACGATACGATGATTCAGAGAAACGTGTGATTTYTGAGCCTATTGAAATGACTCAAGAATTTCGTTATTTTGATTTTTCGAGTCCTTGGGTCCCTGGAGATGGATAGAACCAATAAAAAAAAAATGTAATCCCGGGTGATGGTGTTAGTTTGTCAAATGCTCAAGCAGCTGTACTTTTGCTTCACATAAATTGTGTTTGTCCACCAAGTTTGTTCAATGGTCGTAATTACCTCAGAGTCAATCAATGCAAAAACACCAAAACAAATAAACAGTAGTAAAAAAAAAAGGCTCGAAGAATGTGATTACTGTTGGAACATATTTACAGGTGTCTGATAATTCAGGTGCAAAAATTGTACACTCATGGTTGAATGGTTCACATTCGCAATTGCTAATAATTTAATAAATAGATTGTAAGTTTGAATCCTCGTGGAGTGAGGAGGGAGGGGAACGAGAATTCAGTAAGAACAGAACAAAGCGGCCTTGCATTCAGTTTGGGAGGTCTCTCCTTGCGTTCCTCATCCTTGTAGTCATGTTATTGATGACATAGAATGGATAATCCAAATGACATGGTCTGGTTTACACAAACTCATGGTTTGGTTGTACCAGATACGAGACAGAGCTTGGGTATCACTCAGGTGGGCAGCAGTATATTTACAACTTTTGTTTGTTCTACACCTCTATAGTCGAAGTTCAACCGCTATGATTTGAGCTTGTGACCTTCAACCAACAAAGCAGATCATTTAACAAATAGAAGTGAGACGGATGAAAGTGAATCGCCTTGTGGAGCACTCGACCCTTTTTTTTGTTTGTTTGAAACAGGACCTTGTGGTTCCGGCTCATCCATTCTGGGGAGCATCAGTCCGGTTCCTATTCCACCGGCAAGTCGGAAAGGATTACAATGAATACTCGCTCACGCTCCTCCCCCTTGTGGTGTGGAGGTTCGAAGGACGACATTGATTACTTCCCGAAGGAAGGATGTACAACCCTAGCTTGTTCTACTGGTAAACTGGTCGTTTGTATTTGTTGCTAAGACCCTAAGCCCTAGCTTTATGCTTCTTTGTTTGTAGCCTGTCTCTGCTGGTTGCTTCCATGTGATGGTCTGATGTGGTTGTTGGGGCAGGTATGAAATCTAGGTATTGCTTGAAGAGGGGTTTGTATGGATTAGGTGAAGGTGATCTTGGTAGGGCAGGTGTTGAGGTTTTGCGGGTGGCTGGGTTAAGGGGTTTTGGATAGGCTTGGTGTATTGGGTAATGTAAGGCTGTCTCTTATACACATCTAGATGTGTATAAGAGACAGGATGTGGTTGTTGGGGCAGGTATGAAATCTAGGTATTGCTTGAAGAGGGGTTTGTATGGATTAGGTGAAGGTGATCTTGGTAGGGCAGGTGTTGAGGTTTTGCGGGTGGCTGGGTTAAGGGGTTTTGGATAGGCTTGGTGTATTGAGTCTGTCTCTTATACACATCTAGATGTGTATAAGAGACAGGGGTAGGGGAGTTGTTGAGGCGCTTTGTGTTTGTGTTATGATTAGCCAATTTTTGAGAGTTGGTCTGTCATTGTTGATTGTGTCTGGTAGCCCATTACCTAGTTTGGAGGTTAATGTTTTTTTATTGTTTCATTTTTTTTGCCGAGGTCAGTGGGGAGTTTCTAAATTTTCTTTTTCAGAGGGGATGAATTTTGGTGTTATTAGTTGTTTGACGATGATGAGTGGGTTCTCTGGGGTGGTGAGCCGGTCATTGAAGGTGTTGTCGCATCTGTTTTTCCAATAGCCCATAGGGTGCTTTTCTTGATTTGGGAGGAGAGGAAGGCTTCAAAGCCTTTCAGCGGGGGTGATTGTTTGAGGTTGAGGAATAGTGTGGTGGGGTTGATTAGAAGGGAGAGTCTGAGATTTTATACCATGATGATTCTAGAGATTGTTAGAGAGACCTGGCCTTTGGGCAATCCATGAAACAATGGTTCAGGGATTCAGGGGTATCGAGGTTGCATACCTTGCACAAGAAGTCCTGTTCCGTTCTGTTTCCGTGATTGCGTTTGTTGGCCAATACTGGGACTGTTCTAAAGGCTATTAGCCATCTCAGGATGGCAAGCTTAACCGGTCTTGTAGAGAAGACTGTAGCCTAGGGAAGTTTGAAGTGGGAGTTGGCTAGTTGTGGTTCCTCTTGTCCATCTATTGCGTACTGTGTTGGATATTGATATGGGTTTGGTGAAGAGTCAATATCCTAGTTTAGGTGTGTGGTCAGTTAGGTTTGAGATGAGGGTGGAGCAAGGCGAGGAGTTCCATGTCCATTTTGTTGGATGCTAATGTGGCGTTTATTGACTTTTATAGACTGTTTTTCTTCTCGTTCTATGATTTTGATTCTTCTTAGATTGTTGTTTTTGAATGCTCCTTCTGCTCTGCTTTTTAGATTGATGTAACTTACCAGGTTCCCTGTTTTCTCTAAGGTGTATATGTCGCAGCATATCCAACTATTGTTGTGGGGTTCGTAGTTCTTGAATAAGAGGACTTTTTGGATTGGTGGGGAGAGTTTGGTGGTAGCCAAGTCACCGTAATGCCATTTTTTGTTTGATTTTAGGACTCGTCATTGTAAAGGAACACAATCTACGATGTGGTTTTAGTTAGTTTGTAGGTGATGTACTCCTTTTTAGTTTGTCTTGTAGGTCTCTTTTCGTTTTCCAGGTTTTATTTGGATCATCCCATATGCGCTTGCTTTGCCATATTCCCTTTTTAAGCCAGTGTCTCCATTTGGGTTCTGATTTTGCGAGTGGGAGGCTTTCCCCTTTATCGTTCTTGATCAGTGGGTTGCCGAAGAGGGGTTGTCTGAGAACTGTCTTTTTTCTTTGGACTTGTTTTGTTCTCTGGGAAAATGATTCCCCAAGTATGTAGAATTTGCTCCCAGAGGGATTTAGTTTGGGGGGTGTTGTTGGTGTTTCGCTGGAGTGTTTGGTTGGTTCCCTTTTGGAAGCAGCCAGAATTTGTTGAAAATCCAGAAGAGGCTTGTCATACTGGTTGGCAACGTAAATGGTGCCAGTTCTCTTATGTGATTTAGGGCTAGTAGTGTCCAACGCAGATTGTCGTGGAGGGCTAATCTTATAACCCATTTGATTCCATTTGACTTGTAGAGCCTGGATTTGAC